TTATCTGAAAAAAAAACAGGCATAGAATTCTGGCTTCGTCCATGAAACTAGAGGTATGGTCACGAGGAAGAAGTCGCACCGATACGACGCTCCGTCGACGTGTCACTCGGCAGAAGCTTTCCCTTGTTACACAAAAAGACGAGAAACTCAAGAGAGCAGTCGTGTCCCACCTGCCGACCAGGCGGGGAAGAGAAGTTCAAGGACGTGTGCCTCATCGACACGTTGCGTGCCCACGGCTACAAGCTGGAGTATGCGAGCGACGGCCCTTTCTGGGCGATCCGAGACGGCAGCACCTTTCTGGAGCCGTTCGGGCCGCTGGACAGACAGATGTTGTGCAGCTCGTTCACGCACCTGTAAGCAGGCGTAGTCCATGCAAATGCATTGTAAGGAAAGCAGTCGCTCGCACAACATGGAGGCAGATCTCGGCGGTCGCAGATGGCCAGTTTGTGTTGACCATCGGAGAGCACTTCGTCGCCCTGAGGAAGAAAGAAGGTGTGCTGGAAGTCAACCAAAGTAATAAGCGACACGCATGGAAGAAAGCGTGCACGCACCGCACACACTCCCCGCTTGTCTACTGCAACGAGATGGCTGTCTGGGTCATTGATCCGACCGAGTGCACCGGAGTCTTCGTCATTCAGGACAGCTTGGGCGGCGGATCGGACTTATCTGGTGGGAGCTTGCAAGGTCTTCCCGTGCATCTCTCGAAAGAGCTCGTTTGCAGACTAGGAGATCTTCGCACGGCCGTGCACTTCGAGCGTGCCTGCCGCGAGACACGCGACCTGGTTACGTCTTCGGACGTCTGGCTCGATAGACACGCGGGCGTCCTGCCTGCGGCTGCCGTGGACAGGAACTGGCTGGGGGATCGGAAGTCCTTGCTGGCCGCCGCAATCGGCGGTTCTCGCATCGTGGCTGTGGAATGGCCAGTGCACGTCACGGCGAAGAAGGTCTGCGGCTCACTCATCCGGAAGTGGAGCATGCTGCAGCCCGTACTATCGCTGGTCTACTTCCGCCTAAGCAGCACCGACCAGCCACGGCGTGTTGTGGTTTCAATTGGAGGCTGCTCCCCCATCGGGGATCGCTGTTGGTGTGACATGGGGGCGCCCTTTGCCGAAACTGTGATGACTGAATTGGGGCACAGTCGCCTTGGTCGCCCGAGCGATAAATTCCTCACTAGCATCCCACAGTGCACGGCCGACCGCCTGTTGCAGGTACAGTGGTACAATCACAGGCTGGAAGTTTTCCTCGACGGACACCGTCATGGGATGCTATCCCTGCAGGACTGCGATGTGGAGCAATGGGCGCATGTGACGGTGTCCATGTTCGGCGAAGAGAATTCGGCAGACGATCATCACAACCCGAGCAACAGCTGCTTTCTGCCGACGGAGCTCGGCACTAAAGCCTTTCTGTCAGCGCTGGACCTGCGTGGTGGAACGACAGACTGGTTGAGCGTGTCTCCTCCGCCGGTGTCATTCCTCGGAAGCCTCCAGGACTTTCTGTGTCTGGCTAGCTGCAGCACGCAACTCAGGGAGTGCGTTCAGCAAGGCCGCTTTTGGCATGACGTGGATCTGGAATTGAAAGTGCGGCTTCGTGCTAGTTTCTGCCAATCTGCCTTCTTTGGTAACCTTTTGCAAGCGTGGGAAGAAGGCATCAGGACAGTCTCCTGCTCTCCTTCCGTACTTCATGCTCTGTCGTCTCTCGGGACGAAACTCTGGCTACACGGACAAGGAGAACACATGCCGAGCCTGGTCGCTCCTATGGGAAGCCCGCAGAGCTCCACACGCATCGTGTACTGGAAGTCGGAGCACCAAACCTGTCATCGAAGTTCCATGCGTGTGCGGCTGCCATGGGATACGAACTTTCTGGTCTTGGCATTGCGACGCTCAAACTTCCGTAGTACCCCAGAAAGCAGCACGTGCATGGTGCTTCGGAGACCCTTTACTGCAACAGGGGAGATGCAATTCCGCCTGGCCAATGGCGAACGGGTTGCCATCCCCATGCCGCAGCATCTGAAGGAGGGAAGGAACTCAGGGCACACCTTCGCATTTCACTGGGACAGCAACTTCCTGGAGTTCGCTGTGGACGGTCATGACATCGCGACCATCCTTCTGACTGCGGAGCAGAGCATCGAGCCTTGGGTAAGAAGTGCCGCAGTCTGCATTACACCTTCCAGTGCTCAGATAGAAAGCTTTCAAGTCGAAGCTCTCCCATTCAAGTACATGACGTCGTTCGGATATCCGGGATGTGCGTACTGTGCCTGTGAAAGCCTGGCCTGCTGCAGTGAGTGCGAATATTGGTTCTGTCAGAACCATGGAATCGCGAACGCAGATCTCTGTCTGGCATGTGCTCCCGAATACTATCTCGAAGACCGTCTCGGTGGGACTTCGGTGCAGGTGACCTCGGCCGTCCGCTTGCAGATCGAGAAACGCCGTCTACAGGCACTGCGCAAACAGTATCTGTGTTTCCAAGGAGATGAGCTCAGATTCGAACAACTCTGCCATCGTCTGGTCGATGTCGAAGACAGGCTCTCAATGATCTTCTCCAATGAGCAACAGGCCATGGAAGCTCAGGAGGCTGTATCAGATGTCCATTTGATGCAGCGAGTCCAGGAAGCGCGTGGCCAGCTGGGTGACAGTGTTTTCTTCTCAGTGGCAACACAGATGGACCGGCCGACCGGCACCGGCTCCTTGCTTGACTTCGGGCTGGACACTTTCCTGCCGATAAGTCTAAGGCAGTGGACTGGTCCCCGCTCTATTTGCGCAGCAAGTCCGTCTTCTTTCAATGTGGAACGTCTTGAAGGACTGGAAATTCTGGATATTTTGGCCATTGTGCACACGCACCCGCGGGACACGCATTTGGAGTTTCGCGAGGCGGATCACAGATACACCTGGCGGGGCCGGAAGGTTTCTATGTCTGTGACGGGTCTTATTCACAAGCTTGCCCGGAGCTTCAACGCTGTGGAAGCCGTGCGAGCCATGCGCGGCGGTCGCAATTGGCCACGTGCCGACTATCTGTCTACGAACGCTGTCTCGGAACTTCGACGAGCCTTGCGAGCGGAGGGACCCGCGGACGCGGTGCTGTCTCATCTAGTGGAATCCTCCGACGTGGATGTCGAAGCCATCTGCTGCCGACTTCGGAACCTCGTGTGGACACATCCTGGGTATCGTCATCTAGCGGAGATCGTTACTTTGACAGACACGCAGATTCTGGGCATGTGGGACAACAATCGCAGGAAGGCCGCGTCGCAGGGAACCTGGACACATGCTCTTTGCGAGTGCTTGCTGAATGGCGGCAGTGTACCCTTGCAGTCAACAGAGATGTGCACTTTTCTGAAGTTTCTGCGTGCCTTCACCTCAGAGGGATGGACCATTTATCGAACGGAGTGGACCATCTACGCGGAGGCTGAGGATCTGGCCGGCTCCATCGACGCTGTGGCGAAGCGTGGCTCGGAGATCTGTCTTCTGGACTGGAAGCGGACGAAGCAGCTGGCGTCCAAGGATTGCAGCTTTGGTCGCAAACTGCACTTTCCACTCGAGGACACAGAGGACTCCGTGGTCTGGCACTACCGCATTCAGCTCAACATCTACGCTTGGATCCTTCGACAATACTACGATGTAGCTGCAACGGACCTGCGAATTGTGTGTCTTCACCCAGACAACGGGTTTGAGTCCTTGGTCATTCCCGTACCCATCCTCTCGGATCGGGTTGACAGACTCATGTCTTGGCGGCGAGATGATCTGAGGTCTTGTGTGCGGCTGACTTCCTCGACTCGGGAAGATCTTCGCGGCGGCAGCCAGCCTCCAGACTCCCAAAACCCGTCATTCTCACAAATGATGGAACAGGAGATGGACACTTATGCAGATCTACCTGCGCCCGCAGAGGCAGACGGCGTGGCCGAGCCAGGTCCAGAGCGACAGAAAACAGCGGACGGCGCCGATGTCAGAGCTCTGGACGCCGGTGGGGCTAGGCTCATGGAAGCCGAAGAGCCCGCTGGGACGGACGCTTTGGAGAGCACCTTCAGTCAGATCATGCAGACGGATTTTGATATCCCCTCCGTTCCTGCTGAGTCAGCGGCGTCTGACGTTCCGGCTACCGAAGGCTGCATTCTTCGTGAAGTGGCACGCAACAACATGTACGTCTACCTGCCACGCAGAATGCTGGATCCCGTTGCAGAGGATGTCAGGAAACGAGTCGAGCTCTTCTGGAAGACCACATACTGGGCCAACGCGGAAGCAGTCCAGGTCTTCATGGCTTCCTTCGTACTAGCTCCGCGTGGCGAAAATGTAGACCGTGCATTCTGGGGCATCGGTTCCGGTGGAGTCGGACAGAGCCTACAGACGGCACATTTGGAGGCGATCCTCGGAGAGTACCACGCTTGCCTGGACATGAACATCTACTTTGTGGACGAGGCCAGTGAGTGAACAACTGCTGGTATTCTTAAGGAAAACGGAAGTCGGTTGTGTAGACCGTTGCATAACACTAGGATACATCAGCCTACTAGGTTCTAGCTGGACAGGAGATGCGGAAACAGGCGGCGAACATTGTTGACAAGATCGTTGTCACGGGGCAGGAAAGTGTGCAAGGCAGTCGGCGCTCCAGGAGAGAGGACATATACAAGAAACATATTTCTGCCAACAAAGTGCCGGAACGTTTGCCTTATGCCATCCAGACGGCATTGGTCGAGTTGCGCGGCTGGAAACGCTTCGAACTCAACACAGCACCAAAGTTGCTCGTCAAATATACATGATATTGACTCGGAGTGTTTACGTTGCAGTTGTAGCATGAGGTTTGTGTAACTCTTTCGTTGTCTTCTATCTGATCCGGCGAGGTTCGGCGGTGTCACCGATGAGACCATCAACTCTATTCTCAGAAATCGGGCTGACAGACTCATGTCTTGGCGGCGAGATGATCTGAGGTCTTGTGTGCGGCTGACTTCCTCGACTCGGGAAGATCTTCGCGGCGGCAGCCAGCCTCCAGACTCCCAAAACCCGTCATTCTCACAAATGCTGGAACAGGAGATGGACACTTATGCAGATCTACCTGCGCCCGCAGAGGCAGACGGCGCGGCCGAGCCAGGTCCAAAGCGACAGAGAACAGCGGACGGCGCCGATGCCAGAGCTCCGGATGCCGGTGGGGCTGGGCTCATGGAAGCCGAAGAGCCCGCTGGGACGGACGCTTTGGAGAGCACCTTGAGTCAAATCATGCAGACGGATTTTGACATCTCCTCCGTTCCTGCTGAGTCAGCGGCGTCTGACATTCCGGCTACCGAAGGCTGCATTCTTCGTGAAGTGAGTGAGCTGGAACGCACTATTGCAGACTATGGCCCCAGTTCTTCGTGGTCCTCCACCTTCAGACACGTGGTCCAAGGAGCACTGGCCGTACATCGCTTACGACTCCTCGATGTCAGTCGGCGAGAGGAAGTTTTGTTTCTCGAGCTTGTTGAGGGGTCTGGGAGACACGTCCGAGCCCATGGTGGGCAGTGCTTCTTCTATTCGGAGCACGGGCACTGGAACGCCTACAAGGGCGTCATTCCCGAGGGCACACTGGCACGATGCAAGAAGTTTCTCGTCCAGCTGGAGGGCCTTTATGCGTCCTTTCACGGGAATGTCTTCCGGGATCACGATGGAATTTTAAAGGCTTCCCAAGAACTATTGGAGAGACACTCGCTCCAATCCGACATCCTTCTGACTGCGTGCGAGAAGGCTGCCATCTGCCGTATGCCCCCGAAGTCCAAAGGAAGCAATCCGGGGGAGGTCGACGACGTTCAAGATCCGGGCGATGACAAGGTCCATTGGACAGTGGCCATGGCCAACACCATCGGCAAGCTGTACGTCAAATTGCTGCTTGTTTCCGAAACACTTCAGTAAATAAGCATTACTGGATGCAGACTCGTAATCTTATTTTGCAGCTTCTAAAAGTTTCTCAGTCCGAACTTTGAGGCAGACTTCTCTCCTCAATGACAGCATCATCAAGTACTACATCGCGTGGTGTTCTCAGGACGTCAAGCCAGCGGGAGGTTTCTGCACGACCGATGCAGCCTTCGCATTCACCGCAGACGGCTTGCATCCAGTTCGCAAGACACCACGCAACAACATGTACGTCTACCTGCCACACAGAATGCTGGATCCCGTTGCAGAGGATGTCAAGAAACGAGTCGAGCTCTTCTGGAAGACCACATACTGGGCCAACGCGGAAGCATTCCAGGTCTTCATGGCTTCCTTCGTACTAGCTCTGCGTGGCGAAAATGTAGACCGTGCATTCTGGGGCATCGGTTCCGGTGGAGTCGGACAGAGCCTACAGACGGCACATTTGGAGGCGATCCTCGGAGAGTACCACACTTGCCTGGACATGAACATCTACTTTGTGGACGAGGCCAGTGAGTGAACAACTGCTGGTATTCTTACGGAAAACGGAAGTCGGTTGTGTAGACCGTTGCATAACACTAGGATACATCAGCCTACTAGATTCTAGCTGGACAGGAGATGCGGAAACAGGCGGCGAACATTGTTGGCAAGATCGTTGTCACGGGGCAGGAAAGTGTGCAAGGCAGTCGGCGCTCCATGAGAGAGGACATATACAAGAAACATATCTCTGCCGACAAAGTGCCGGAACGTTTGCCTTATGCCATCCACACGGCATTGGTCGAGTTGCGCGGCTGGAAACGCTTCGAACTCAACACAGCACCAAAGTTGCTCGTCAAATATACATGATATTGATTCGGAGTGTTTACGTTGCAGTTGTAGCATGAGGTTTGTGTAACTCTTTCGTTGTCTTCTATCTGATCCGGCGAGGTTCGGCGGTGTCACCGATGAGACCATCAACTCTATTCTCAGAAGAACAGCGGTCTGTGCCTACAAAAGCAGCTTCGTCGATCCTGCTCGCATCGCAGGAAGAGAGGAGCTGGCGGCGTCGCACGGAATTTTCCCCCGGGACCCCACACTCAAAGATTTCCTACGGGACAACCCGGCTTGCCTGGTAACACTGCGGTGCGTGTGGAACTATGCCAGGAATCGGACAGCGGAGCAATGCCGCGATGTCCTGGAGAAGTACGTTGTCCGTGGCGGGGACTGCGGCTTGACGCTGGCGACCGTCCGGCGCAGCTGTGGCTTAACGCCAAATGAAACTCCGGATGCCGACCCTGTGCGTGAGGTCTTGGACGCCCTTTCCAAGAAAGCAGCCGCGTCTGCTGTCGCAGAGCCTTCTGCAGAGGTCAAGGCTGCGGAGGTGCAGGCAGCCGCCGTCCAGGCCACCGTCGCCAAGCACAAAGCGGAGCAAGAGGAATCCGTTAGTCAATTGCGGGACTGGCTGGTCGCAGAGCGTAAAGACTGGTTCACCGCTGCACAGCTGAAAAGTGCCAAGGCCAAGTTCGTCTTCAATTTCAACCGCTGTGATGCCCAGCAGGTGATCGACAAGATGCTGGCGAGCGGCCGACTTGTAGCTGCACCTACAGTTCTGCCTAAGGTTGGCCAGACGACTCTTTACCTGCCGGTCTACTTCTGCGAGAAGTCACTTGACGCGGTGGTGTCTCTGGTTCATGACACAGAGATGACCTTCATAGAGGCATACCATGTGTCCGGCGTTCGCTCTCGCCTGGCAGCAGACTCCTCGCGAAGTTTGAACATCAGGACGCTCGCTGAGAATTACAAGAAGAAAGATGCGGCGCAGCAGCCCAACAAAAAGAAAGGAGCTCCCAAGCGAAACGCAGACGTCGATGCTGCCGATTCCAGCATCTGGGAGGACCTTATCCAGGCATTAGACAGACAGACATCCTTGCATCGGGAGGTGCTGGAGGCGGCTCAGGAGGCGGATTCAACAGACGAGAATCTATATGTGAAAGTACAGCGTCAGTACTTCTATCCCCGGGACATCCGCTGCCGCCGATATGTCACAGAAGTCGGTGCTCAGAGTATGTCTCGACTCACACGAGCCATCTGCTGCCCTCAGACAGCTGACTACGACATCGCCTCAGCCATGTTCAACATCGTCGTCCAACTATGCGACATGGTACAGCCGACAGGCCTGGAAATTCCCTCATGGCGTGCCATTGCCACGAACCGCAGCCGTGTTTGCAGTGATCAGCTGAAGTGCACCGAATCGGTCGGCAAGAAGATTCTCACGGAGGTCGCCAATGGAGCGATGCCGTCGAACTTCAAGGACA